CCCCCCCCCCCCCCCCCCCCCCCCCCCCCCCTCCCTCTTAGTGCCGACTCATTCCTAACAGTTTGGTATCAGAGCCACGTTATTTCTCTCTTAATTTAACACCCAAGAAAAATGGCTCTTTTTGGATTTCAAGAGGGTTTTTCTATCGTTCGTCCTCCTATGTTCAATGGGATGGACTACACTTATTAGAAAACTCAAATGAGAGTTTTCTTGTTTTCTATGGATTTAAACTTATGGAATATCGTAGAAAACGGATTTAAAAAGTTTTTTACTCCAATGAAAGAATAGAATGATTTGGAGAAGAAAACTTTTTCTTTAAATGCTAGAGCTATGAATGCTCTATTTTACACCTTAGACATAAATGGATTCAATCGGGTTTCTACTTGCGAAACGGTTTTTGATATTTGGCACACACTCGAAATCACACACGAAGGCACTAGTAGAGTAAAAGATTCAAAGATTAATCTTTCGATGCTTGATTTCAAGTTGTTTCAAATGAAGCCGAGTGAAACTATTGTTGACATATACACCCGCTTTACAGATGTCATCAATAGTTTAAAAGCTCTTGACAAATATTTTTTAAATATTGAACTTGTTAACAAGATATTAAGATCCCTTCCAAAGAGTTGGGATCCGAAAGTAACTACAATACAAGAGGCAAAAGATCTCAATAATTTTTTACTTGAAAAACTTTTTGGTTTATTGATGACATATGAAATGAAGCTCAATGCATATGATGAACCTAATGAACAAAACGATCATGAGAACAACCTTCCAAATAATAAGAAGGATTTGACACTTCGAACAATAGAAGACTACTCGAGCGAAAGCTCAAGTGATGATGACCTTGAACTTCTCATAATAAAGTTTAAAAAATTCTTAAAATAAGAATATAAGAATAAAAATGAACTTAAAAAGAAGAAGTTGCCAAAGAATAAAAAGGTGACTTAGGACAAATTGAGTACCTCCGAAGACGATGAGCAAATCAATGAAGAAGAAGTGGCGAACATCGCCTTGGTGACTCTTGACAATGAGGTAAACAACTCAAACGAAACTCCTTTATTTTATTTCAAAATTACATGATGCTTGTCATGAGTTATTTTTAAATTAGTTAGTAAAAAAATTAAAAAAAATATTTCATGCTTCTTTTTCTAGTTATTTTGAAAATTTTGAGCATGACAATTGCATGATAACTCCTAGCACTAAGATTCACTTAAAAAGAAAAATACATTAATACAACAAACAAAATATTTTTGATTGAAAATGCCTTATGTTCAATGAAATCATGATTAATATTTTAATGACATAATAATGTAAGACGTAATGAAAATGTCAAAAGATTTTGTATCATTCTTGATGATTTTATATTATCCATGAGGATTTGAAGTAATGATGATTTTTGGGTAATTTATGGTTTATTGATCTTGATGATTTGTATGATGATATTTGCTCTTTCGATTTTAAACTATGATATATCGTTTTGATATGAAAAACTTGTATTTACTTATATGAAATCAATCACTTAAAATGAAACATATAAAAGGAATTGTTTGATTGCATCATAAGAGAATTAGGCATGCTAAATCTTCCAAATGTATCAATTACCTTTTCAGATTTCTCGATTCCATAACTTGAATTTTCTTTTTAAATTGAGATTATCTTTCTATTTACAAGAAAAGGGATTTGATTTATGAAGTTTTATTCATGGATTTTTAATCATTCATTTAATGATCATTTTTCATAAATTTTTCCTCACTCTTCTCACGAAAGAAGAATTTTTATTCATGAACTTTTAGTATGTAATGATCATTTGCAAAAATAGGGATTTGATTTTGTATGGACATCTTGATCTTTTTAATGAATCCTTTCTTTTTGTTAAAATAGAAGCTTGAGTCAATGAAACTCATTTATTATGAATTTGACTTGGTTTAAATCTTTTCATGAATTTGGTTCTTGATTTTTTTTAAAAAATAAATTTCTCCCTTACTTTTCTTCCTCTTCTTATCTTTTTATGACAAAGAAAGAAAGAAACATGCTAACAAGAACCAAAAAGCTCTTAAGCAAAAATGCTAGCT